AAAGAAGCAAGCATGCACCTTCCTGACCCTAACCAAGGCAGGAGGAACAGGTCAGAGGAAGCAAATGTCATTTTCTGGAAGGAGAAATGGTAGACAGAATCCATTTGACTTCAAGAACTGATGGGCAGGAAAATAATAGGGAGCCAGTTTGGACTCATAACACAGAAGCCCTCTCAAACTGACGTGTCCAAAGTGTGAAGCAGCTCTATGGTGGGTAGAGAGATCCCTATCACAGCAGGAACAGAAACAGAGACTGGCTGGCCTTCTTGTTAGTGCGGATTGCAGATCCCATAGTGGACCCTTTACCTCTGTCACTTTTACTCCTACCCTTTAAGAGAACAATCCTGACATGTAACTTGCGTTTGAAAAAAATGAAACCATGGAAGAATAATGACCTGTTAGTCATCCACTCATCCATCCATTTATCCATCCATCCATCCATCCATCCATCCACCCACCCATCCATTTGTTCATCCAATGCATTTCATTGAGTACCAGTATATGCTAAGATCTGGGAATAATACAACAGTGCTCAAAATAAGCACAGTCTTTGCACTTACGTCACTTAGAGTCTAGCAGGGAGATAGACATTAAACATGTAAGCAGACTATATATATACACACACACACATACATATATATATGTATTTGTAAGTTGTGATGAGTGCTATGAAAGAAAAGTACAGGGTTTAGTGAGAGTGGAAAGTTGGGGATATACATTAAAATAGAGGTCAGGATGGTCTTCTGAGGATATAAGGTTTAAGATGCCATCTTAAAGATACTTATCTGTTAAGATATTTATCTGTTAAGGAGACACATATGGAAGCCAAAGCATTTCAGAGAGAGAGCAAGATGAGCAAAGGCCCCAAGCTTGGGAGGAGTTTGATGTGCCTGAAGAACTGAAAGAAGACCAGCATGCCAGAGTGTAATAAAATAATAAAAGGATAGAAGCTTAGAGGAGGCTGGAGAGAGGAAGGGGTCAGATCATGCGGACAAGACTGGTGGGGTAAGGCCTGTGGGTAAGAAAAAGTAGCAAAATGAACAGATGAGTGCAGGAAGGGAGTCATGGGGAGAATTAGGAAGACAGAACATCAATGGGTAAGAGAACTTGGATGGAACTGGGCATCAGTTTCTCAAAGGGGGATTGACCAATGTAGTTCTAGAATTGAACGACTAGGTCAGAAACAATTTTCCCTCGGCCTGCTCTGTCTCAGCCAGAGGACATGAATTGAGATACTTGGGTACCTCCTTTAGCAGCTGCAGTCTGGGGCATCTTCTACCAGATGGGATAATGTACCTCCCATGGGAAGGGTTATTTTCTCTCTACTTGAGCATTAGCACCTCTGAAGTCTAAGTCCCTACCCCAAGCTTCCACATGCTCCATTTTCTCAAGGATCACCTTGAGCACCTGTGGCTAACATCTTCAATCTGCTGCCTATGTTGAGCCCATCCCTCATCTTCCAAAGGAAGGCTATACACTGTTAATGGTTCTAAATGATTCCCCTGCTCACTCGCCCTTTCTAACATTTCCTGTTTTAATGATAGGAACAAAACCTGATTTTTAAATTGCTCTTTTTTGCTCTGTGGCTTTCTATTGTCTTCCTTTCAGAGTCTGAATAATAGTTTTAAATCCAAACCATCACTTAATGCCTGTTTACCTACTGGCTGCAGTTTTCTCTCTATGGCTCTGATCAGATCGATTCCCAGGTCTAGAGTGTATCAAGCAAAGTGCTCAAAATGTCTTTTAGCTCTTATATTCAAGGCAATTCCTTTGCTTTTTGCTACCCTAATCAAATGTCCTTATTGGATTAGGTGGTAGTAACCTCATAAAAAGGGGAATTTTGAACACAGTCAAGCACACAAGGAGAATGTCATGTGATGGTAAGGCAGTGATCAGAGTGGTACTTCCAAAAGCCAAGAAATGCCAAAGATTTGCCAGCAAACCACCAGAAGCTAAGAGACACACATAGAACAGATTCTTCCTCACAATACTCAGAAGGAACAAAGTATGCAGACACCTTGATTTCAGACTTTGGACCTCCAGAACTATGAGAAAATAAATTTGTGTTATGTAAGCCAACCAATTTGTAGGACTTTGTTACAGCAGCCACAGGAAACTAATACAGGTCCATAACTTTGCAACCCTCCAAGCTGGGCAGTACTAAATTAGATCGAGTTACTAGTAGCAACGTTACAGAAAGGAAAGGGTTGGAGACACACGCTGGAGCCAGGTGTGTGTCTAATATTCTTGTGTAAGGGGCACTAGGCTTGGGGTCAAGTTAGAATGATACTGAATGAGTGCTTAGGGCTGTTACAACTGGCAACCATCTGGTCATAGACACTGGCTGGACTCTCCGGGGTCAGGGACCAGACAGCAGCAAGTTGCTTCATCACCAGAGTACTGGCCTCGAGTCTGACATATGAACTTCAGGGTCTGGATGCCTTCCATTAGACCCATGAAGCAGATGCCATGATGACAGAGAGAGGGAAGAGCCTTGGGGGAGACTGATGACCCATCTCTGGGACTTTGTATCCTTCCAAAGTCTGTGGGATTCTCAGTATCTTCCTCTGTTAAAAAGAATACTGTTTTCAGCAAGTCTGCCTAGAGGAAATTTGATCCAGGTGGTCAGGAAGGGATGGGATAAACAGAATATTGATTCCCAGCTTTAGGTTCTTGATACAAACTCCTCACAGGCAGTAGACAGATTTATAATAGATAGGGTTTGCCTTTAATCAACCCTGGATACTCTAAGCATAGTACCAGGCACCAAGTAGACACTCATCAAACACAGGTCTGCTTCCCTTTGTCCTACGCTCCCCAAGCATCCTTCTAACCTGATGTGGTGAGACGGGATAACTGAACAGTGTCCAACTGGCATTCTGTACTATCTGGTTCTCTGCCCCATTCCCAAGTGCCACTGGAGCCCCATTTCTTTGGGCTCAAGTGTTGGATCTCACCGAATTAGAAAACCAGGATGTGGATGCTCAGATTCCCCAATACGCTGACATCTCAGAAGCCTGCCTGGGCTTGGACAGCCGGGCATTCACACTCATTCATGCATTCCTGTCCTTTCACACATGCTCACTTTACCTGCATACACACTCCATTCACTTAAGGAAAGATGGCAAAAGATGGTAACCTAAAGCTCAGGCAAGAGGGGAAGCCCTTATGCTAAGGAGAGGGAGAGAACTCTTCTGTCTGGTTCTTTAAATGTCACTGCAATTCTCTTGCACATCAGCAATGCAACTCTAGAGAAGCCCAGCAGGGTGGGCTTCTATGCCTCTGAGGACTGCAGTCCTGAAGTTTTCAGGAGAGTATAGTTTTAGAGATTCTCCCACTGTCCCCGTATGTTCCTACTGCTTGTCAGGCCTCACGTTTTCAATTCTCAGTTCAGAAATTATGACCCAGGCAGCTACCCTTTCATAGAGCTTACATCCCAGAGGGTGTCCTTAGAATCCCGCCTACCCCATGGAGTGCAGATCCATTGCATCCATCTCTCCTGGTCTATGAGTCAAAAGCCACTGAGGAGCCATAGAGCATACCACAGTGAAGGAGGTTTGTCTGTGAATTTCCTTCCCGCTACAGCTGCTTTAAAGCAGGCTGCAGACACCCAGCTGTCCCGACTGCTGTCTAGAGCCCTAGTGCTACCCAATTGATGGTGCTCTTCCTTCTACATTATCTGTTTTCTTCAGCGGAAAAGTCTGCCAAGACCTGTGATTTGTGTCACTTTTGTTTGCAGGCCATCAATTCTCCTTGCCTCGCAGAGAGTATTTTATCTTTTTCCATCCAGGAGCCTGAGTTCTTGAGAGGGAACAAGTTAGGGACATGCCACCCTCTGTGACTTATGTGAAATCAGGGTGACTTCTTATCACTGGGAGCCCTAGTGCTTCTGTTTTCTTCTTCCTCCTGCATCTTCTCTCTTGTGCTTAAATATTGGGTTGATTTTATTCAAAGTTATAAAAGTCATGCGTGATGGGTCTTGGTGCACATTTTGTCAAGTAGCTGTAGATTTTTTTCTCTCTTTTTCTCCCCACTCTGCCCACGTGTGTATGTATGTTCCTCTGTGTGGTTTTGTCCATTGTGCATGTGTCTATATATTTACACACATACACATACATACTTGGGTCATCACTTTTGTCTGTACTTTACATCTATGAGTACATGCCTACTTATGTTTATAACTTTTATCTCCTTGGAAGCAGTCTATGAAACTATATATGCCGTCAGTAAATTCAGGGAACAGAGTAGAATTGTCCAATTTTTGTGTGTATGTATGGGGAGGTTTGCTGTTAAAAACATCAACTCTGTAACAAAAAGATAAATCTGATTTCTAACTATTCAACCCTGTAATAGGTTAAATGATAGCGAACGATTCATTGATTTTGTTTTTTAAAAAGAGTAATAAACAGAAACATGTACCAATTGAAACAGCCAGGCAATTCAATTATAATTAGGAAAACAAAAGTGATGAGCCTGAACAATGCTGCCTTGGTTTTGGGGATAAGTGTTGAAAATGCCAACTACATAATAATGCAGCATTTGTCTTCTTACTACTAAAGGCCCCAGTACTAATCACCTCATTTTTGAAAGCTGTGTACCAATTGAACGAAGTACAAAACTCAGTAGATGGGTCTAATAGACATGCTTTAAAAATACCCACATAAACATAGACCTAAATATAAGAAAAACATATATGAAAAGAATATTTGAGCAAATTTATATCCATCATTCCACTGATCAATGTACCAGTCCATCCTTATATAGATTCATCCACCCATCCATCCATTCAGTAAATATGTTTTAAACTTTTACTCTGTTTTACGCACTGCGCTACTAATATACACCCTAGAAGGTATGTTCTAGATGCAAATGACTCCAGTGAAAATAACAATTCTTTCTGGTTTTGAGTTATTGTTGCCTAACCTTTCTCTGTGTGGCTAGAAAGAAACACTTAAATGATTGAAGAACAGGTGAAGACAGACAAGCAGATGCCAACATACCTTTTGTAGCCAGACGAACACAGTTGATTTTGGTCTCCTGTGAACAACAAAAATGAGGTGGCAATTAATTAGCTGTAAATTATGTAAAATTATTATATAAAGACAAATACACATATATATTTGCATATATATGCATGCATATGTATTTTTAATTAGAATTTTAAATTTGCCCTTTCCATTTTTTCCCCCATCGGATCACCTTTTAATTCCATTTTTTAATTTTTTTCTCAGGGTAGGTACATATGTTATTCAGTTCACTTCCTGGCTCCTACCATCTCATAAACCTCTTTCCCAGACAAAACCACTTTATAAACGTATCAGATAATTCCCAGCACTCATCATCTTCAACAATAACACTTAGTGGGTACCTGGGGTATGCAGTGTGCTTTGTTCAGTTGCATGAGTGAGCAGATGGAAGCAGGGCATCCTTGGGAAACTTTGTTACCAGCAATAACGCATCTAGATGCATAGAATGAAGAGATACTTGGCAATAGTTCAGTCTATATGAAACGTGCCAAACTCAAACTGCAAAGTTCATGTTCAAAAGTTACTTTTCCCCTGAGCTCTTGTGTGGGCCTCGCAGCCTTCATAAATAATGTGTGTGGCAATAGAATCTTTGCCAGGTGAACTATCTAGTTGTTAGTTGTTTCCAAAGTAAAAAGGATCCATAAATGTGTGATGTTGCTGGGCACGCAGTGGAGTTAATGAAGTGTGCTTAGGAAGAGAATTATCTCTGCCCATTTTACTGGGATTCATCTTTCAGGAGGTCCTGGAGCCAGTTGAAAATTCCAGTTGACTAAATTATACCCCCAACAACAGTCTGAATTCAGTGTAGCAATAAAAGTAAAATGCAAAGAATGCAAGTATGTGAGTTGCTGAACCAAAAATCTGTCAATAATCCAATTCTTGTCTTGCTGCAGCTCATTCACAAAGAACCACTGCATCTTGAAGGCAGTGGTGGCAATCAGGATAGAAAAGGTTAGGAGGCCATAATAAAACCCATGAACTTCAGTGGTTAAAAACAGCAAAGGTTTATTTTCCATTCAAACTACCTGTCCAATGTAGGTGTGTGGCTGAGTCTAAGGGGTGGGAGTGGGGGTGATTGGGAGACATTCTGACCATTGTAACCACTCAGAGATCATAGCTGGTATGTCCATTGTAACCCAATGGGAGAAAGAGTGCTAATGAGTAAAGCACTATCAATCAAATGCTTTGAATCAGAAGCGACACTTTCAGTTCTATGCATGTTTTATTGGCTAGAACCTAATAATGGCCATGCCTAATTTTAGTGAGATGGGGAAATGGAATCCTTCCATGTATCCAGAAGTAGAGAAGACATGACAATGTCTACAGTAGATTCTATTCCAACTAGTAATGCTGGAAATGATCACTTCTATTACGTCCAAGTATGACTCCCCATAATTAATCTCATAGTTATCGCCAATAGTCTTCATTCTCTTCCTCAGAATGCACAGAAAGTCTGCTTTTGCTTGTGTAAAAAAGAGGTCTGGATAATGAAATATGGTTCTCAGGCTCATAAACATTCTTCTTCATCAGTTCTTCATATTGTAAGAGTTCAAGTCTTTCGAGCTATCCTAGCTGCTCATTCTAGGACAAACACCACTTTGTCCTCTTAATGTGCAGTGACTAGAACACAAAACAGCAGTCTATACATGTTCTTATTGATATATGATTATCTAGACTGTCACTATTATCCTTACTTATATTGGGCTTCTATTAACATAGGCAACATCTTAGTGTTTATCCATCTCCCCTAAGCAAAAATAAAAGTATTGGTTATAAGTCTGCCTCTACATGTATGAGTGTGACTCTATTTTTGAAACCCAAGTACAGAGTCATATTTACCACTACAATTTCCATCTTTTTCAACTGATCCAAGTACTACAACCCATCATTACAGTCTCCACAAGCTGAAAAATTTTAGAAATCAATTTTTTCTTTAATTTCATCCAGATCATTAATATAAGTAACAATCTGGATAATGTCAATGGTAGAACCTTATGACATGTCCTAGATTCCTTCTTCCAGGTTGACATTCATCTGTTAATCAGAATTTGAACTAATACCATAAACTGCTTATGCATTGAGCTTGAGAATAGGTTCAAATTCCTTTTAGACACTGATACTCTGTCTACTGCATTTCTCCAATCAGTGCAAAGACTGTCTTAAAGAAAGAAGGTTGGGTTGACATGACTTGTTCTTTGGAACAAGTGTTTTCTTATTCGTAAATACTAAAAGTGTCTCTCTTTAAAACAAACAATTATTTCCTTTTATAAAGTAGATAATTCAGAAATGTTAAAAAACATGACAAGTCATGGTTCAAATATATGAATCATTCATATAAAATCTTCTCACAAAATTTGAAGCATGTTATGTTTCAATAACAAAGTTTTTTAAAAGAACATACCCAGAAGATGAAAGAAAAGAAAAATGGTGGAGAAAAAAAGTAATAGTAAAGGATATTGCTCTAAATGAGATGTACAAAAAGCTTAAGTTACACGTTAAATCTTGCATATGACAATTAAAGTGAGCAAACTCATTTCTGTTTTCATGTTTGGACAAAGCTTTTAAGCTCTTGTTGGCTTCCATTCCAACAGCACCATACTCTGTGTTTTGGTTTAAAGAGCTTGAGATGGTTAAATAAAGCATGAAACCCAGAACACTGAGGAAGACATGCAAATGATTGTGCAGTGTCACAATGACTATCATTGAGAAATTGTGTAGACTGGGAGAGGTGCCAGCAGACTGTAGATGGTTAGAATGATCTTCCACTTCCTGGTAATACAACAACAACAAAAAATGATTTTGAAAGTAATATATTAGAAAACTTGCCAATTCTGTGCATGATTGTCGAATACAGCAGAGGGCAAAGGTTTGATGAGGCTAATACTGCTGAGAGTAATTTGTAAATACATATCTTCACTTTAAAGAAATTCAGTCTTATCTGTCTAGATATCTAAGAATCTTTTCTCAGGGAATAACTTTAAATATAAATGAAGCTTTATATTCAAAGATGTTGGTTCCAGTGTTCTTTATAAAAGTGAAAATCATGAGCGATGTATCTGTCTAACCACACAGGCATGGCAAAGAAAGCTGTGGTCTCTCTTATTCAACACAGTACTGGAAATCCTAGCCAGCGCAATTGAGCAAGAGAAAAATTAAAGGGCATCCAAATTGGAAAGGAGAAAGTCAAAGTGTCTCTGTCTGCACATGACATGACCTTATGTGTGGGAAAAACCCAAAAACTTTACCAAAAAAACCCTCCTAGAACTGTTAAGCAAATTCAGTAAAGTTGCAGAATACAAAATCAACATACAAAAATCAGTAATGTTTCTATACATGAACAACAAACTACCTAAAAAAATACAAAAATCAGTAATGTTTCTATACATGAACAATAAACTACCTAAAAAAGAATTGATAAGGGAATCTCATTTACAATAACTACCAAAAGTAACAAAATACTAGAAATCAATTTAACCAAGGAGGTAAAAGACCTCTACAAGAGAAACCAAAAATACTGTTGACAGAAATTGAAAAGGATACAAGTAGAAAGATATCCCATGCTCATGGACTGGAAGAATTATTATTGGTAAAATAATCAGACTCTCCAAAGTAATCTCCATCAAAATATCAATGGCATTCATTATAGAAATAGAAAGAAGTCCTAACATTTGTATGAAAACTCAAAAGACCACAAATAGCCAAAACAGTCCTGAGCAAAAAGAACAAAGCTTGAGGCCTCACACTAACAGACTTTAAAATATACTACAAAGCTGTAGTAACAAAAACAGCATGGTACTGGCATAAAAACAGACACATAAACCAATGAAATAATATTTTTAAAAACCCCAAAATTAATGCACATATCTACAGTCAACTTATTTTTGACAGTCACCAAGAACACTCACTGGGGAAAGGACAGTGTCTTCAGTAAGTGGTGTTAAGAAAATCAATCATCCATATGCAGAAGAATGAAACTAGACCCCCCCCATCTCTCACCCTATATAAAAATCAACTCAAAATGCGTAAGAGACATAAATGTAAGACTTGAAACTATAAAACTACTAGAGGAAAACATAAGGGAAATGGTCTGAAACCAAACATATGACATTGATCTAGGAAAATATTTTATGAATAAGACCTTAAAAGTATAGGCAATGAAAATAAAAATAAACAAGTAGGATTATATAAAACTAAAAAATTATGTACAGAAAAGGAAACAATAAACAGAGTATAAAGGCAACCTACAGAACGGAAGGAAAGTATCTGCAAACTATTAATCCCTCAGGGAATTAATATTCAGAATATACTAGGAACTCAAACAATTCAACAGCAAACAAAAATACAACTAAAAAAAGAATGGGCAAATGACCTGAACAGACATTTCTCAAAAGGAGATACACAAATGGCCAACAAATATATTTTAAAATGCTCAATATCACTAATCATCAGGGACATGCCAATTAAAACTACCACGAGGTATCATCTCACCCTTGTTAGGAAGGCTATTAAAAAAATAAATAAATAACAAATGTTGGTGAGGATGTGGGGAAAAGGGAACTCTTATACACTGTTGGTGGGAATGTAAACTAATTAAGCCACTATTGGGAACAGTATAGAGGCTCCTCAAAAAAACTACAAATAGAACTATTATATGATCCAGCAATCTTACTACTGGATACTTATCCAAAGGAAGATAAATTAGTATATTGAGGAGACATCTGCATCATGTTCATTGCAGCACTATTCACAATAGCCACAACAGGGAATCAAACTAGGTGTCCAAAACCAGAGGAATAAAGAAAATGTGGTATATATACAACATGGAGTACTATTCAGCCATAAAAGGATAAAATCCCATCATTTGTGGCAACATAAATGGAACTAGAGGACATTACAGTAAGGAAAATAAGCGGTAAATAGAAAGTTAAATACTTCGTATTCTCACTCATATGTAGAAACTAAAATAAGTTGATCTCATAGAAGTAAAAAGCAGGACAGCAGATACTAGAG